CCGTGTTCTTGCAGACCACTTTAGAGAGAAGTGGGCCATGTACCAGCATTCTATGTATGTAGAGTATCCCTCTGCCTTTGAGTCTCCATCAAGAAAATTAAGGAAATGGGGCAAAGAACAGACAAGGAGTCATCAACACATAGAGATGTTGGTCAACACAAGCTTCAGAAAACAGATATACAGTATCCCCCTATCTGCTTTATAGGTGAGGCTAGATAAATGATCACTTGGTTAGACTGTGCTCAGCCAATTATTTTTATCAGATGATTTTGCTCCTGGTCAACAATATCATGAAATTGAAAATACAGAAACCAAAACAGAGACAATCACACAGTTCCAAATTTGTTTAGGTACTTAGCTCAATTCTTGTGAAAAGGATAGAAAGTAAGTGCAACAGCAAAGAACCCTATCTCTGTGCCATAACTTTAAAGAGAAAAATAACTGAACCAATAATGAAATGACAATAAGGACTTAAAGGCCAGGCAAGCCAAGTTCACTTTAGGGCACAGAGATTCCCTTGGCTTGCCTGACTAGAATGTACTATAAGGAAAGGTCAATGACATTTTTAATTTCCTTGATGTGGACACTCATCCCTTCTTCCTTTAATTCCTGTGGACTCTTTGTCAGAGCAGCTGGTATGTAGAAATAGACATCTGGCTTATGTAGCTTTCCCTAACTACAAGCCAAGTTCTTCTATCTTGGTAATTCTGCTCAACTGGCTGGGTAATGTATCTATAACTCATATCTCCTCTGACCAGTCTGAAGCCTGATAAATACTCTCCCTTTGATAGGTGCATCTGTGTTACAGATGTTTGATTCTGGATTCTGCAGGCTCTCTATTCCTCTCAGATCCTTTTGGAGAGGAACTGCTTTGGGCTAGATTTCTGGTTTCTCTATGGGAGTGGTGGGGAGGTTGAGTAGGATTTAGAAATTGAATAGAATTATTCACAGATGACTAACATTTGCCGTGCTAGTAATCTATCTGTTGGTCTCTTCCCACTTGCCACTACCCACTACTGAGCAGTGAGCTCCTATGTGGAAGGACCTTGTTGCCTGGCACATTCTGTTTGCTCCATAAATGTCTAGCAAAGCATTGGTGAAGTTGGAGCCCTTCAGAGTCTAATGGAATTTTGAGCTTGAGCTCTGTGATTTAACTGTACTAATGTGGATGCTATTGATGGTCAATTTAGTTCAGTGATGACTGCCAACTCCAAGTCACAGAAAACCACATAGACACTTGCAGGTCTGTCTCCATGAATCCAAAGTCCTCTGAAACAATTAAAGCCATAGTATGGAAAAGCAAAACCAATGCTGTGCTCTTCATACCTCAGTCTGGATTTAAATCCAAAAAAAAATAGATCAAATTCTTATATTCCTCCACAAAGTTATTAGCATCTATCCTTATTTTATTCTATTTGTTCTCTGCTTAGCTTACCCTACCTGGTAGGGTAATAATGGTAGTTTTCAGACTACCATTATTGCAAGTAACAGTTTTAAAAATATATTTTTAATTATAAAATTTAAGCACAAAGGGTATAAGGCAGAAGATATCAGATAAATTTTTAAAAACTCAATACATGAAATAAAAATGAGGAATTGAGACTGCAAAACCTCTTCCCTCCACTGTGATCCTGCTGTCAGACTTCTGTCAGAAGAGGAAATTCAGAAACAATTATTCTTTTTTAGATCCTTATAAATAAAACTTAAAAAGCATGGTTCTTGTACATAAGCATTAGACATTTGAGGAAATTCACCATCAGGAAAGATGAATGGGAATTTTTTTAAAACTTTGTGTTTATTCTCAAAATATATTACATCCTTATGATAAAAATAGATTAATAATAAAAAGTCAAACAATAAAAAATATCTTAGAATATGTCAGTAACTATCTAAATAAATAATTGGAAACTATAATTGAGGAAATCTCAAAAGACATAAAAAAATATAAAAGAGCACAGAGAAAAAAGTAAGGGGATAAATTCAGAAGATATACTTCCAGGTATCTTGAAGAGAGAAAAAGAAAACAGAGAAACTGAATGAAGAAATAGCAAAGTAATAACTTAAGAAAATTTCCCAGAGATAAGGGCCATGAATGTTCAAATTGAAAGGATCCTTACTAAAATAATACACAAGTAAAAATATTAGCCCTAAGAAAAATTATCATTCAATCTCTAAAGAATAAGCTTTGGATAATATTCCAAATGATTTTGAAAAGAATAGATAGGTAGGTAGGTAGGTAGATAATAGATAGATAGATAGATAGATAGATAGATAGATAGACAGATAGATAGGCAATTATCAGAATAGAAGCTAGAGGCAATTAATAATTTTTTTCAAAATTTTAACAAAGACAAATTGTCGGTTTTGTGTAAAGGTAGAATAAAACTATTCTGAGAAGTCAGTTTCAGAAAAATGCTACCTAAAGCACCTTTTCTTAGAAAGTTACTTAAGGATGTTTTCCAGTAAAATAAGATAATAAATTAAGAGATATTTATGTAGTCCAGGGCACAGGGACACCAGTACAAAAAAAGTGAAGTTCCAGGGTGACAACTGTGTAACAGATCTAAATATGACTTATGAATGTTGGACAGGAGACTAGAATGAACTAACACAGAGGTGTGTGGGGGTGTGTGGGGGAGGGAAATCCTAAAGATACAGGCTATACATTCAGATATCAAGACGAACAAAAGAAGAAGGGAGGGAAAGAAGATATGAATGAAAGAAGAGCAAGAGGCAAAACTCACTCTAGTGATAGACTAAGGGATGGGAAGAGTCAAGAAAGGAAATATAATAGAGTAATATTTTGTTTTGCAACAAGTAATTTTTCATAGTCATGTAATAAATATGCATACAGGTGTCCTTCATATTCATGTGTTCTGCATCTGTAGATCTAAACAATGTTGGATCAAAACTAGCAAAATTTCATCTGTATTGAATTTGTACAGGATTTGTCCTCGTCATTATTCCTAGAATCTAATACATTAACATTGCATTTGGTTTTATAAGTAATCTAGAAATGATTTAAAGCATACAGGAAAATGTATGAGACTATTTTCAAGTCATATGTCTTTTATATAAGGAATTTGAGCACCTGCAGATTCTAGTATTTTGAGGGATGCTGGAATGAGTTTTATGAGGTTCTAAGGAAAAACTACAAGTAAGAATGGTAAAATAAATAAGAAAGTAAAATAACTGTATTGGAAAGTTGGAAAAGGGATGGTAAATATATGATTATTAGTCTCATCTCTATTATAAGAGTAATATTTAAAATTGATGACTCAAACAATATATATTATGTATATATCAAACAATTATATATACATATATATATATATATATATATATATGTAGAGAGAGAGAGAGAGAGAAAATTACCAGAAAAGCTAGATAAAAGAATTAAATATAGTTACTTACAGGTAGCAAGGATAGAAAATGGAGAAGAATGGGGAAGAATTAGTCAGGAGATTACTGTTCCTCTTTACACATTTTGTTATGATCTGATATTTTTAACTCTAAGCATTTGTTACTCTGATGGAAATTTTTAACACTGTAAAAGCATAAGTACTTGGAGCTGGAGTGTAGCTTAGTGGAAGAACATGTGCTTAGCATGCACACGGCCTTAGCTTCAATTGCCAGCACCACCAAAAAGAAAACAGTGTAACTATTTCTTACAATTCCACAGAATGAGTATTGTACATAGGGGAAATAAAGTGCCTATGATTATAGGTTCACAACACTTCTGAGTCTACAGATGGAACAGTATAAATTCTATGGCACCTCTGAGGCAGTGAAAGGAATAAGTCTTAAACACTCCAATAAGGGTAGACCAGTCAGAGTTTAGACAGATAAAGGGCCACTGTAAGAACCATGCCTGGGTAACTTGAAATACTGCTGCTATGGTTTAAACAAGTGTCCCCCAAAGGTTCATGTGTTAAAGGTTGGATCCCCACTGTGGTACAATTGGGAAGCATTAGAACCTTTAAGATGTGGAACAGGAAGTCTGAAGGTCACTGGGGACATGACCTCCAATGGGATTACGGGATTTCAGTGTCTTCTTACTTTCTAGTTTTCTGGCTCACAAGATGACCAGTTTGCTTCACTATATACCCCTGTCGTGATGTGCTGCTTCAATAGAGGCTCAAAGCAATGGGGACGCTTAATCTTGTACTAGTCTTCCAGAACAGTAAACCAAAATAACCACTTCTCTTTACCAAATAATTAACTCAGGTATTTTATTATAGTAATGGAAAGGTGACTAATCCAATGACTTTCTCAGTCAGGTTTGATGTAAGAGTGAGCTTGGAGACAAATGGAAATATTTCTAATGTCAATTTAGAACTATTGTGTACCTTGTAAACTTTACAGCTACCAAATGCTTTCCTGTACCTTATTCCATTTGATTCATAAAACAATCCTAGGATTTAGATAATGTAAAATATTACTGCAGTCACCCACCTTTTATAAGCAAGACATCTGAGTTTCAGGAAGTGCCATTTGTAACTTACAAACCTCATTTAGTAGACCTTTCTGTGGATTTGTATTCCTGTGCTGAGACTCTGTCTACAGGGAAAACATTCACAGGTACCTGGGGTGGATGATTTTCTAACACTGTTCACCAAGCTTGTTCTCCTCTTCATTTCTTGGTCCTCTCTGGTGAAGATATCCAGCTTTAGTGGGCCTAAGGTACCTGGAAAACTGGCCAGGCACCAGACTGTCACAGAGTCTGAGAACCAGGTGAGGTGCCTTTCATACTGCAGATAGTGGTTTACTCCACACAATGTGATTTGTTCTCTGCTGTCTCTCCCTTTGTGACCTGGCATTGCTAATTACCTAATACTACACCTAAGACTTCCTAAGAGCTTGATACAGCCTGATGAGACCTGAAAGAGTGTTTTGTTGTGGGACTATGTGAACCCTTTTTCCCCCTCCAGAAGCAAAAAGATAAAGCAATGTTAGAAATGTGCCCTACAAGTAAGTCATCATAATCCACAATTTCTTACCTCTTGGGTGAGTCCGGATCAAAGCAGGTCTTGCGCACATCTGTCACCTCAGGATCACAGCAGTCCCCCTCATCGAAGTCATTCAGCATGTTGTTGCAGGCAGCATGACAGATCCCATCCCTGCGGTTAAAGGAGTAGCAGCTGCCCTGCAGGCGGCAGTCACCTCCGTCATAGCCTGTGAGCGGGTGCTCACACTCGGGGTCACAGTGTTCATTTCCAATCTTGCTGGGCTCACAGTTCACAAGCACAACCCGGTGGCGCAGAGTGGAGTTGAGGACCCGGTGGACGCTCAGCTGCCAGCTGATGTTGTAGCGGCTGAAGGCCTCATTCAGGGCCTCGTGCTGCTTCTGGATCTGTGCCTCGCTCACTATGGGATACGAGCCCTCATCATCACAGATATTCACCACCTGGTACTGGATCACTTTCTCTCCCCTCAGGGGCCAGTGCTCATTGTACTGAGAGATCAGCTCCACATTGTCACAAACTGTCTGCCCACAAAGTGGGGGCTGCAGAGGTGACAGAATCTCAGGCTTTGTCCCAGACCCCTGGAGAACCTCAAGCCGGGGATATTTCTCATCCCTGAAAGGTGTCCACTGTTCCTTCAGAGGATCAAAACTGGCTGTCAGGACCAAGGTGGCCAACTCCTCTGCCCTGCTTGCATGTGGGGGACTGTGCTGGAGGTGGCTTTGTGACAGGGCAGTGGACCAGAAGACCAGTGTGCCCAGGTGTCCACGGAAACAGTGCCCATTCTCAGAGCTATCCCCACCCAAGAGCAAGGAGCGGCAAGATGCCATGAAAGGACTGTTCAGGGGACCAGACTGGCCTGGACTACTAGCCACCTGAGTGCCGTCCACATACAGGGCCATGCGCCGTCCATCATAAGTGGCTGCCACATGTGTCCACATGCCTGGTTGGTAGCGACTGTGGCCAGTCACAATGGTGGCTTTCTTCATGCGGTCGGTGCGGAGGGAGAAAAAGAAGCGAGCATCTTGCCTTCCCTTGTCCTTCCCTGAGCGGATGCCCAGGGCCCAGCCCTTGTCATTGACTGTGTGGGAGCAGTTATCAAACACACCTGGGAAAGAAGGAAGAATCCAGCGAGAAACACCAGATACAAAGAGAAATGGAGAAAGGGAGAAGAAAGCCTGTGTAAATAAGTTTTTAGTGGGAAACAAGGAAGTGACATGGATTCCTCGCCTGGGATCCCTGTTTATCCTCCCATACTAGACCATTTGGCAACTTGCATCCCCCCAAAACAATCTAAAATCAGATTCCACCCAGTTTTGCTTATTCTATTTGATTTTTGTTTGTTCCAGTACTGACAATTGAACTCAGGGCCTTCCCACTGAGCTACATTCCCAGTCTTTTTGTGTTTTTTACTTTGATATAGGGTCTTCCTAAGTCACTAAGTTCCCCTGACTGGGTTTGAACTTATATCCTCCTACCTTAACCTCCCAGAGTGCTGGGATTGCAAGCATGTACCATGGTGCCCAGCTCATTCTAGTATTTTTAAATCACTAAAATGGAAGTTAGAGTGCAGATATTCAATGTAAGTTACCTCCACCCTTTAACGTTTCATCAGGAATGCTTTTCATGCTTACTGACTTTGAGTCCCTGCCTTCCCTCACTGATTCTTGATTCTTTCTATTTCCTCAGAAGCTGTGAAGGTGAGAAGTATACATTTTACAAATGACAGTAGTCTCTTACTCCCCACCAGGCATTTTTCTGTATTGAACTTTAAGATGGTGGGAAAACAAGGAGTTGGTGTATCAAGGACTCTCTCACAGAAGACTGTAACTGCCATACATAGTACCTTCTAGTACCTCTAGTACCATCTCCTTCTAGTACCTCTTCCTGGGCAAGGAGAACAATTATCATCTGCAGAATGGAACTGTATTGCACAGAAATTAAAGTAACACTGCCCATGGTCTAGCCTCAAAATCCAATGAGTCAGGTATGATAATGGTTGCTCTACACTCTAGGATGCCCAATCTAGTACACAAAATGAACTTTCCAAATAAATGAAGGACCCTGCTTTGCACAGTCTCACTGCCTTGCTCAGAGCAAGCACAGGAATATCAAACCCACTTCCATAAACAGTGGAGGTCACCTTGGATAACCAGATCATTGATAAATCAGCAGCAGGAAAGAGTGCTAAGGTCAGATGCAGAAGGAGCACAGCAGAAAGGAAACCTGAGGCACTTGGGAGACCTCCAATGTTCCCAACAATTGGGTTTTGGTTAACTCACACTCTCCTCCTGAGTGCCTCTTCCAGTATACAGAATGTCAGCAGCTGTTCTTACCAGTAAATTACATGAAGGGAATACATTTATACAGAAATGCTTAATAAATATTTCTTCAGCTGATGAATGAATAATGGAGAAATCTGCTGCTCTTAGGATCAGTAGCCAGAATTAATATCAAGAGTCATTCTTCCTCAGTCTGCTAAAAGGCACTTTATGACACCCATAGTGTGTCGCCCCAGGCGGGATTAAACCCCAGACATCTTCAGGAAGCCCCGTGAGTCTGGACTCTGCCTCCCTGACCAGTGTGCAAGGCGGGAGAAACCTTGGGCACCCTCTGGGGCCTCAGTGGCTACCCACCACATCCATAGGGTGTGGGCTCCAGCTGGGTTGAACCACAGACATCTTCAGGAAGCCCAGTGAGTCGCAGCTTTGCATCCCTGACGAGTGTGCAAGGCAGGCAAAACCTCGGGCACCTTCTGGGGCCTAGGAGGCTCCTCACCACACCCATAGTGTGTCTTCTGGGCCTGGGCTGAATGTCAGACAGCTTTAGGAACCTGGTGAGCTACTCTGGGGCCTCCCCCACTGGGGTGTGAGAGGCATGTGGATCCCTGGACAACTTCTGGGAACTTGGTGGTCACTGCCAGAACAACTCACACCCCCAGGTAGCTCAGCTGAAACCTGAGTATAGTCAGTGGCCTCAGGGAGCTCACCCTTACCCCTCCCCTTCCAGTATGGGAAGCTGGCAATATGTTCTATTCTGGGCAATATCTGAAGCCTCGGTGAACTCTGTCTGCATCCCCCCCTACTCTTATGGAAGCTGGGCCGAACCCCAGACAGTCTCAGGAGCACCAGCAAACCTCCCCCACCCTTCCCACACTCTCCTGGGAGCCAACTGAATGCAAGAAAGGTGGGGAGTGTCTGGGATCCCACCTTGCCACTACTCACCAGCACAGGAGGTACAGTGAGCACTGGGGGATCTTCAGAGTCTCGCCTTCCCCTCACACACAATCAGGACAGTGAGGCTGCACTTCAGGGAGCCTCTAGATCTTCAAATACGACAAAATGAAGGAGCAAAATGCAATCCCATACCTCCACACCACCCAAAACAAGTCCAGGAGGCATCAACAAAAAAGAGCCTGGAAGTCATACACCTGAAATTTCTGAAATGATAGCAACTGAAGTCAAGAAACAGCTTGATCGGGCCATAGAAGACATCAGATCAGAAATTATGTCTCAGGTGAGAAAAGAAATGACAACAATAATGAAAGAAATGTTCAGCATATCCAAAGATGACATAGACAAGAAAATAGAAGAGCATAGACAACTCAAT